GTTTTCCAAAGAGAAGCTTTTTGACTGTGAATCATTTTTGCTGTCTGAACTCAAATCCACTAACAGAAAACAACACAAAAATTGATACTTGCCCTGATGGAGGTAATTGTGCCATAAAAAAAGCTTTCACTTTTACAGTTGCCATAGATTTAGTCAAAAGGAGGCTTTGCTTCCTGCAAAGTCAACAATATTTGACATATTTGAGCTTTTGCTATTTGTATTGTGTTTAGTAAGGTGTCTCAAGGCAACATTTATTGTCATTTCACACTTTATAAATAAGCTCAATTTATCTTTTTTCCATTACCTCCATTCTGAATGAAGACAAACTGAAAAAAAGCAATGTAAGCCCTGGCACCATGAGGCAGTGTTGAATGGGAACGAACAGTGATGTCTACATATTTTAATAAGGTTTAATATCTGTCTTATCAGAGAGTTTCTCAGGCTACCTTTGGGACTCTGGGGCAGAGAAGTTCTGCAATGTGACACCTAAATAGACCAAAAGAGATGGTGTAGACAGCTTTATTCATAGGGATTATAAACTGCTGATGAAACAATTTTTCATCAGGCCAGATGGTATCCAGCTAAAGAGAAATGCTTAAGATACCAAACCACTGAGTGATTAACAACAAGCTGAGGTAGATCATGGGAAAAATTAATTAGAAAAGCAATGTGCATGCATTTAAAAGACTTAAAAAGCAAGTTATAAAGTCACAGAGTGAAAACACTTCTGCATTCGCAGATCAAAGTTACAAATATAAAATGCTTCTGTTGTCGTAGCTCATTTAAACTGACATTTCAAGACTTAATTAAGTCTATTGGCCCCCATTTCCAAAAAGCACACTAACACACTTCCTTTGCACAACTTCCTGATGTCAGCGAAACAAAAAAATGCAGGGAATAGCTTCGAACATAAGAACAGGGAGTTCCCATGCGATAAGTGCTTAGTGCCATATTCCACATTGTGTGGAAACATAAATCAATAGATTGACTGTTGAAACGATTCTATACAGAGAGAAGTCACTGGGTTCTTAAACCAAGTTAAAGAAGGGCACAGAAGCAAAGATCCTTTCCAAAAATCTGCCATCTAAACCATATACTTTGCTGATTAGCTGTGTGTTCAATCTGGGAAAAGAAAACTATGAATGTTGTACAAAAACACATTGAACATATTTTAAGATAATTAAAAGCATGAGAAAAGGAAGTTTGATTAAAAAAAAAATGAAAAGAAAACAAACCCAGACCAATAAGACAATAGTGCCCCATTTCAGAAAGAGTTGCCTTCCTACCCTGAGTGATATGCAGATATTCTGAGTAGTTTCCCTCTTCTCTTCCCTACTGATTGTTTTATATTTCAGAACAGGTGATATTATTTAAGTATGAGGTTTAATGTAAATTTCCTAAAATCTAAAGGACAGTGAAGCCAGGACGGACGAGCCACAGTGGTCGCAAGAATAAGTACTATTCGAATAGTGCTGGCATTAGGGAAGGGGCTAGGAGGATGAATTATGTTTCCTACAGACTAAAATGTAGTTAAACAATTTTCACCACTGCATCTTTATTTTAACATCATATATTCATATTTATATCACATATTAGTATCTAAATCTCAAATGTATATATGGAAATATGAAATCTGAATGTATATTTTTAATCTTTAATCTGAGTCTAAAATCTATTTATGATATGTCAAATTTTATATCTAACTTTGTTTTGTTCATTGTATTATTTTTTTTATTTTGTTTGTAGCACTTTGAGACAGGCCACCAAGTGAAATGCACCTATACAGTACCTCCTATTTCATGGCTTAGAACCTCATCTTCCTGTTATGTTTCGGGATTATCAACTAGTGTTTGTGATTTCATTCCCCTCTCCCTTCTGCTCTGACTGTTCATTTGGCCCTCCTGTGCTGCTGCTGCTCAGGCTACTTACCACTGATTCCTCTCACCTGTTTGCCAGCATTCTTAAGCAGGCCTCTGACTAGTTGGCAGTGCCAGATTGCCTGAAAGCCTTGCATTTTCCCCCTGTCTGTTTACCTGATCCTGACCCGTTTCTGCCTCCTGATTTTTGAGCCTGCCTACCCCCTGATTTTTGAGCCTGCCTACCCCCTGTTGGATCTGTTTTTTGTGCTGCCTGGACCACTGACCTGTTTCTGTGCCCTGACTTTGTTCCTGGATTCTGTTTTGGATTCTCTGAATATTTGATCACCTGGCTCTGATCCTGGACCTCCTTTGACCATGATTATCTGCCAAGCCTCAGTGAGAAATAACTCTCAAGGAACCAAAGTTTCAGGAACCAAGACACCCCGCCTGGATATTAAAGAAGGTTGGTGGCTTAGCAGTCTGAACTTTTAATCATCCATCTCAGCCACTAACCTGTTCTCTCCCCTCCAGACGCTCTGGTTCCCCTGATCCTGAATTACCTGCAGAGTTTCTTCAATAAATCTTTAAAAAGTTATTACCCGTTGTGTTCCGGTTGTATCTGGGTCCTCAGTCTGAATCATAACACCTCTTTCATAGCCAATCTCATACTGACAACAGAACACACAATCTGCTTAATTGTTATGGAACTGAATAGGTTTGCACATCTTAATATTTGCACAGCAATCTATGCAATTCAATCTTTGTAGATCAGGCCAATGGTAACAGCTAATTTCTGTATAGGAAACTCCACATGTTTTGATCTATAATGGCAGAACCGAAAGTATTTCTTCTTTGTTGCCTCCAAAGGAATCAGTTGGAATTCGCACAGCAGCCATGGCTGTAGAGATTTGGTGACTCCATCACGCTCTTTGTTCCATTTCTCTAGTTCTCTGAATTTTGAGTCTGGGATTACAACCCAGAAATAAACTCAACTTGCCTGTTGCTGAATATTTACATATGGTCTGTCTGGACCAAATCCTGACTTATCCCCACTGTGGTCTTTTAAATGTGATTTTAAAAATAAGCTTTAGAAACCTGGGGCAGTAAAGAAGTATTAGAAATAAATGCATACAAAGCCACTTAAAGCATTTTTTATGGTTGTAACTTCTTCAGAACCACATTGAATTTAATTACTGTAAAAAATAAAAGGTTGGATGTATTTTGAGGTAAACAAAACAGTTTGATCTGTTTTTCAATACATGGGTATCACAGTAAAAGGTGCATCCAGGTAAGATAGAATTGGCATTTAATGAGAAATGAGAACAAGGCTATAAATGGCAGGTATCAAAATACTAAATGATGCCTATCAACTTTAAAAAAGCATTAATAATTACAAGATAAAAAAAACTAGTCTGTAAGGGGTAAAAAATGCCCCTAAACATACCTTTACTTTTATGGAAAAAAAAATTAAATGAAACAAAGATCTATAAACTTCTTAGATGTATCAATATGAAACAATTCATCCTCTAAACAAATTTATTTACCCCTTTAAAGCCACTATATGTTACTCACATCTCACTTTAATAACTTTTAGTATGAAAAAGTGCAACTGGGTAAAGATCAAATCTTAACCCCCAAAAATTTAGTCAGTGTGTTCATTGTGATTCTAAAATAAACACTGGCTCCTTAATTATTTATGCTTACAATTTTTTTTGTTTGTATTTTCATAAGAAAACATTGACAAACCTCAATGTATTACATTTCTTGTGAATAATTATGAAGTGAAAATAAAACTGTTTTCAAAATTATATACAATAAATCTCTCAATGTGGTGTGTTTGTATTAAACCTCTTTTATTTTTGTATTTTTTAATTTTCCAAAGAAAATTAGTAGTGGACTTTAAAATCACATTTGGGCTAAGAGCACACCTTTCTGTAATTCAAATTCTGAAATTCTAAATCTTAGCCTTTTTATTTAACATATTGGTGAATAAATAGTATCATGAAGACCAAGCAAGACAGAAGAAACGTCAAGAATTATGTTTCAAACAAAGTTGGGGTATAAATCAATTTCCTACTCAAGGTCACATCTCACAAAACTCTGTTTAATCTAGCATGATTAAATTGCAAACTTGCCAAGCCATACCCATAAACCCATCCTTAATTTCCCCCTTGTGTGACATCAAAGTGGTTTTCTATTCTATTCTAGAAAGATAAACCATGAAAGGAGAGCATTACATCAGGGAAGCCGCCAAGAGGCTAATAGTAACTCAGGAGGAGCTGCAGAGATGCACAGCTCAGGAGACCAAACATGGAGAAGATAAGTTGCACTTCAGAGATTTAGGCTTTTTACAACAGGTACAGAATTGTTAAATTGTTTGAAGAAAACTGTAGAGTTGCTGCTTGCCATAAGGAATGTAAGAGACACAATAAACATGTGGAAGAAGGTGCTCTGGTAAGATACAAGCAACTTTGTGACTAACATGAAAAATAGTGTTACAGATGGAAAACTAACACCTCACACCACTCTGAACGGCATCATGCTGTGGGAGGATTTTCTTAAGCATGGAAAGGAAAGAGAAAGTCCATAATGGCCTTCCAGGGCTGAAAAACTCTTTAGAATGTGACTAATCTTTCACTTTCTAACTACAAGACACAACATACCCTCAGAGCTAAGGTGTGCTTGTTTAGAGCATCATCTTTTCAATAGTTTGCCTTAGACCTAAATTTGAGAATCTGTGACAAGACCTAGAATTTGAGGTTCAAAGAAACTGTATATCATTCTGCATAGATAGATATAGAGGTCAGTCTTAATGCTCAAACCCAGAAAACTTACCAATAGACTAAATTGCAGCTGTAGGCTATTGGTTTGCAATAAAGAGTATGACCTTAAGGGGCCAAATGACTTTTTTGGTAAAACATAAAACAAAACAAAGAAACATCCAGTATAATTTTCCTTTCACTTCAAAGTTACCCTTGGTTTTTTGTGCATCTGCCATCTGGTTGCAGCAATATAAAGAGTGAAAAGTTCCAATGCATTTCTCTATATATTTTTGCTTGTGTGGTAGGTCGAGAGAGCAATTCCAATCCCTAAAGACCTCGACTCCATGAACCATGAAATGTGCTGCCAAAGTCAAACCTCTCTGGAAACCTCCAGATGTTCCTTGTTCATGTCTTTACTGGCTCAGAACTGTTTTGGCACCATAAGGGAGACGAGGTCCATGCAAGGCATATGGTAATATAATTTGTTTTTGTGTTGGTTGGAAAAACCACTGAAGTATATCAACACTAAAATTTTACACCGATTGTTAAACAACTGGAGTGTGTGCATGATGCAACTGAGAAAGGAAATGGCACAATGAGAAATCATGACCATTAAACCTTGTTGGATCAGTCGAAGTAAAAAAAAATAACAAATACATTCTCCTTAAAGGAGCATTAGGTGAATTTTCACCACTAGGGGAGCTGTTGAGCACTGTCTATAGACCAAAACTACACTACATTTAATACAATTTGCTACCAAGCTTAGAAACATGATGCAAGGTAATTTCGTTATGCTGATTAATAATAAATTGTATAATAATAATAATTTGATTCATCTTGTGAAATTCAAACTGACTTCAAATTATGTCACTTATAAAATTACATTCTACTCCCTTTATTTCCATACATGGGGCAGAGAAAACTGCCAGGTAATGCTGCTAAACTTCTCAGCAGCAATTGTCTGTTTTGATTTAACAATCACATTAGGTGTTTTTTTTTATTTTTTAAAGTACAATATTATTTTTGCCAACACTAGACTGTATTTTAATCTGTATGGGATCGTAAAAGATACAGGTGAGATGGAACAAATTTGGAAAGATGTTTTAAGGGACCTGTTCATTGTCATGTAAAACTATTTAATTTAAGAAACAAGAAAAAATGTCAAATCAGGAGCTCTGATCATTACCTGTGAATTATGTTAGAACAAAAAGTTGTCTTTATATGTTTTTCAGGTACACCTCAAACTTTCACCTAGTCAGTTTGAGAAAAATGGCCTCTTTAATCAGTGTGAAAGCTGTTAAAATCTGGGGTTCAAACCAGTGTGAACTACCTACTGAGTCGGGATATGGAGTGTGATCTCCAGCTAACCACAGCCAAAGCATTGGCCAGTTAGTTAATCAAAACATCATTTAAACATGTTTTTAACCAGGAAGGTATACTTCAAAATGTCATCTGTTTATTTAGTTGATTAACATTATGAATGAATCTTTATATATGTTTTTAGCGTGGCAGAATCCCTATCACAGACCAGTCTGGCTGTTAGGCTAGGTAAGGTAACCAGACAGTCAGAGGATTTAACTGAAACTACGTGGCAAAATGTGGAATTTTTATAGAACATTAAATTTTACTGAGTGACAATAAGTGATCTGTAGTTATCTGGAAGATTTTTCACTCAATATACATAATTTTCTCTATTCTGGTGATTTTCAGAGAATTTAAGTAAAGAGGAATGGGCCCTACTAAAATACTTGCATCTTAAATATACTGTAATTTCAAAACTGTGTTTATTAATTATTCTATACAGTTCAAGTAAAATAACCAATGGTACGCTAATTGTCAGGGTTGGTTGTGGTTTGGAGGACCCAAATGCAGAGGTGAATACTTTTAATGAAAATGGTTAACAAAGA